AAAAAAAAAAAAAAAAATAAGAACCTGGTTTCGAGATGAACTGCGATTGATGGGAGTTTCGAGTTGCCGGAGAAGAGAGCTTCGAGTTGCCGGAGAAGAGAGGTTCGAGTTGGTGGAGAAGAGAGCTTAAAAATCTGAAAATGGAGAATGGTGCGAGAGGCGGGGATTTTGGAATGAAATAATGAAACTCAAAAATGGAAAATGGATTGAAAATTAGAAAAGGTGAAAAAGGGCAATCTGGTCAATTTGCAACCCAAAATGGCTAGATTTCATCTTTTTACAAAAGATGGCCATATTTCATTTTGTCCTTTGCTAAAGTGCTATAAAGCACCATTACCACTTCAGTATATTTACAGTAGTAGTAGTAAAACCAGTAATGCTGCAATAAATCAGCAGGAAAATCATTGATTTTCTTAATTTTAAAAAAAAAAATAATAATAAATACGAAAAATATCAATGACTGATTGCTAACGTGCGCATGTGCGCTGTATATGGAAGTTTTCAGACGGCGGCCCAATCAGAAAGTCTACGACCATTGGCCAATTGGCAACAAATCAAAATTTGTTTAAAGAAATATTAATCATAATTCATAAATTTATTAAAATATCCAGTTAATTCAGTCTAAAATAGAGGATTCGACACTTAACGCTACAAAGGAGCCGAGCCGAGTCGAGCATTCCTTATCGAGCAGGATTGAGTTTTTTTTTTAGCTGTTCGAGCTCGAGTACGATTTTTAAGGCACGAGCTCGACTCGATAAAAAACTACAGCATGCAGCTCGAGCTCAACTCGAAATCAAAATGCTCGAGCTCGACTCGAAAAAATTTTAAGTAGAAAATTAAAATTACCATTAAGCACCTATGGTAATATATATAATAATGGGCATTTTAGTAATTTAATGTGCATCTCGAGCCGCTCGACGAGGCAAAATATAGGCTCGAGCTCGACTCGAGTTCGTGCTCGAGCTGCTGGAGTTCGGTCAAACTCGAGCTCGAGTCGAGCTTTGACTCGAGCGCTCGCAAGCCGCTCGATTCGTTTGCAGCCCTAATTCGACTGTTGTGGACATTAATTAGAAAATTGTTTAAATACAATAATTAAAATTTAGAGTAGCTATTAAAATACAATGATTGTGTATACCGAAAAATTTAGACCTTGCTAATTACCTAGTAGAGAGTCCGTGCGATGCACGGTGTGCACAATTTGAAGGCTATTTATCCAACTTTATAATTATATAAATGAGTAAAAAAATATATGAGATATATATAGTACGTGACATGTGCGAGGCACAAAATATATTTATTTGGGGATTATTATACTATAAGATGCAATATTCAATAAAAGTTTTATAATACACGAAATAAATATAGATAATGTAATTATCTAAATACATACACGAAATGTAGAATAAATAAGCCCAATTGCAAATCTGAAAATATAATTTAAAAAATAGTCGAAAATATATTTCACTAAACATGTACAAAAATATCAAAATACATACACGAAAAAAAAAATCAAAATATACGTTTCAAATTTTGAAATTAAAACAAAATTTCAAATAATTTGGCTTACAGTTTTATCATGCAGAACCAACTCGAGATATGATTTGTATGTGCTGCCCCAGTTTTGGAAAAACATTTTCACAATTCGAACTTTGAGCATATGTCTATTAGACATATTGACTTGTTTGATTAACACAAATCCTTGATTCATTGTTTTGAATAAAAGACTGG